ACCACATTTTTGTTCCACTGTGTATCTAGCAAATAAAAAATATATTTACATTTGTATATGTTATTCAGTCACACCTGGCAACCTTGGCACAACAGACTTACAATGCAGACAAGGTTTGAAAAGCAACATTTCAGTTTAAAGTAAGGGCCTTATTTAAACAAACAGTTCTCAGAATTGGAAAGTAAAGTATTTCCAGATGCCTAGAATCCTAAGCTCGAAATCCTCCCATAACACAATTTGGTGACTTTGACCTTTTAAAGAGTAATGGTTTCAATGAATGGAAACATTTTTGCCACCAACAATAACTAAAATACTCATTTTCATTTATCACCTATTTACAAATTAAGCACAAAACAGTTGTAAAACTAAGATTGGCAGATTGATAAATTGAAACCAACTGACTGTGTGGGATTTCACAGTATTGATGGATCACTGAGTTGTGTGTGCATTACCAAAATGTTGAATTTGTAGGTGTGTGGGGAATTACTGTGTTGTATGTATGGGTGTGGGATATAACTGTACTGCATGTGTGGGGAATTACTGTGCTGTATGTGTGGGATATCACTGTGCTGCATGTGTGGGATATCACTATGCTGCATGTGTGGGAAATTACTGTGCTGTAAGTGTGGGATATCAATATACTGCATGTGTGGAGAGTTACTGTGCCGTATGTGTGGGATATCACTGTTGCATGTGTAGGGAATTACTGTGTTGTATGTGTGGGATATCACGGTGCTGCATGTGTGGATGTGTGGGATATCACTGTGCTGCATGTGTGGGTGTGTGGGATACCATTGTGCTGTATGTGTGGTTGTGCTTTGCACACTTCAATTCACCAAGCCAGTCAGGAACCTAGGTGACTTGTTCGACCCTCAACTGTCTTTTCTTCCCCACATCCAAGCCATGACCCACTCTGCCTTCCCTCACCTCTGTAACATCGCCTGACTCTGCCACTACCTCACCCCTCAGGCCGCTGAAACTCTTGTTCATGCCTTCATCACCTCCAGGCTTGACTGTGCAAACACCCTGCTTGTCGGCCTTCCCCAATCCTCCCTCCACAGGCTGTAGAAAATCCAGAACTCTGCAGCTTGTGTCCTCTCCTACACCAAACTCTGTGACCCCATCTCCCCCATTCTCGCCCGACTCCATTGGCTCCCTATCCTTCAGAGGATCTAGTTCAAGATCCTGTTGCTCACCTACAAAGCCCTCCATGGCCTCACCCCACCCTACATCTGTGGCCTCCTAACCCCCTCCCAACCTGCCCGCTTCCTCTGCTCAGCCGGCTCTGGCCTGCTTCACGTCCCCCAACCCACCCGCCCCACCATTGGTGGGAAAGCCTTCAGCCACTCTGCAATTCCATCCCCCAATCACTCCGCCTTGTCCCCTCCTTAGCCTCCAAGTCCCGCCTCAAAACCCTCCTCCTCGACCATGCCATCGGCCTCCTCGACCATGCCATCGGCCACCCCACCTTCCCCTCCCCTCCCTTCTCCTGCCCTGATTCCAGCTCGGGTCTGAAATGCTGTACACTGTCCAGCGCCTTGGGACGTCCTCCCGACATGAAAAGTGCTATACAAATGTAATCTTGTTGTTGTTGTTGTGTGAGACATCACTGTGCTGTAGGTGTGGGTGTATGGGATATCACTATGCTGCATGTGTGGGATATCACAGTGCTGTATGTGTTGATGTGTGGGACATCACTGTGCTGCATGTGTGGGTATGTGGGATATCACTGTTCTGTGAGTATTGTGGGCACACAAAAATATAAAATAAAAAAATCTTATTAAAAAACAGGATTGATTTTTTGAAATCATGAAATGGGATGTTTTAATGCCATCTCCCTACCTCTCCTGCATATCGCTTAAGACTCTTGCCTCTTAAATAACAATCTCCCTTTCAAACGTTCCAATCAATTATGCATTTTTGGTCTTCTAGGGCTGTGTATCCACATTCTTGTAACAGTAATAGCAACTACTGGTTGAAAATAGCACGGGTATTTGATACCTTGTCTCAAACACTATAAACAAGTTTGGTGTTTTGCTGGACCATCACTTCTTTATAAAAAAGTGCTACATTTGCAGTAAAGACTGCATATTTATTTCAAATTGCCTGCACGCCTACCGATAACAACACAGGCATTCCAAACTACATTGCTAGGTCCTGGATCACAGTAACTCATAAAGCCATCCTCATCCTACAAAAGCTTCCAAACCAATTTTCAATCCTCCGCACCTAATTGCTTTTTTTAAAAAGTGAGTCATAATTGCTAGCCATCGTTTACCCAGGTAGACCAACTTTTACATAGAGTATCTACGAACACTTTATAGCTACTGGGTGATTCACTATGTGGCCCCTAAATGAGCAAAATCTAGGCCAGGCATTAAAATTGATGTGCATCTTATTTCATAACTGTTGTCACAGTTCCAATAGCATTTTCTATGAAACTTTGCGACTAACTTTGTTGGAATTACAGCCCTTTTGCGGTGGAAGTTAGTAGACAAAATGGTCTGCTCAAATACTATCAATGTGTTCATTTTAACAAAATGTAAGTAGTTTTGTGAAACAAACTAGCCACCTTGATTTATAATGTTTTACCTCCTGCTCAATGGGGTTGCTACCATCTGAGCTGGTTGGAAAGAGTTGCTCTGAACACAAACTTTATAACACAGGGGTGACCAGGCATGCGTCAGAACAAAGAGTGAGTATGAACATCACTCATTCTTGCCAGAGTGGGAATTCACCTATATTTTATATACAGTACCTTCAATGCCATAATAGATTGCACAGAAACATTCAACACATGAGGAAGCAATTTGGCCCATTGTGTCTGTGATGTTACTAGCGTATTATCACGTGTGATTATTAATCCCACTTTCCAGTTCTTTCCCCACATCCATTAATCTTTTTACTGCTCAGGTGCTTATCCAGTTCGCTTTTTGAATACTTCTATTGATCCACCCTCAGTAGCCACTTGTGCTAATGAATTCCACACCCTTAATAAAACGCTAAGAAATTCCTACAAACCTCTCCCCTACTTTTGTTAACCATCCTGAGAACTATGTCTAGCTCAGTTCAAACCTTAAGAGTCTTTCCAGTATATCCACAAGCACACTGTCAAGGACATTTCCAAAAGATTGTCAATTTTGTTCTTTGCAAGACCTTGAAAAAACAGCTTGAAAAACAAAAACAAGTTTTCAGTAAATTTACTAAACAAGCAGAGAGACGATGACTCCAGCCTTGTGTCCAGTGGCTTGGAACATTGCCAGGGTGAAAAAAGGCCTTATCCTGAAGGTGATATAGAATTGGCAGATTGAAACTTGGGAGGCTTGTGCCGAGTGAGAAGAATCTACAGACCAGTGGCCGTAGTCTGATTTCCATGTTCACTTTCACCTACTGTATTCACAACTGTTATTGCATATTGTTAAACAAGTCAAATTTAAGTATTGAACTTGAAACTCAAGTTTTAGAAATACTATGTTCACGCAGGAGTACAATCCAGATTTTGATAGTTGCAAGTCAACGGTCACTTGGGCGAGCTTTCCAAATGCTTGCGGTTTTCATATTTGTCCCAGCTGCAGGTCACAGCAACACCAGTGAACATATGCTGACATGAACTACCTTAAAATACTTGCCTTTGGCAGGATTCAAGTTCCTTTCTGGTGCTTGAGTGTTAGAAAGAACCCTATCCCCCTCCCCCATGTGATCTGTAATCCCTACCTTTACAGGACTTTTATCTCATGTGGAGATAAACCCTATTTTGCAGCAAACCGTAGATATTTTTTGCAAATTCACTGCAAAAACACAGCTTATGTAAGACTGCAATACTTAAAAACCGTGAGAGTAGAACTGGTCTTTTATTCTGCTATTTATGGTGGGGTGGGGAGAACAGCATTCCAGTTGACAGGAATGACTGCACCCCTGATAAAAACGTTCTTCTTTTAAATATGCCAAGGTATGAGATGATTATATAGCTACAAGCTTCCCACGCAACTTCCGAGAATGAAATCACGTTCAACAAGGTGTACTGCCCACTGTACCATTTCTATTGCCCACACCATCTATCCTGAGGGACATTCTGAACTTAATGCCAATCAATGCCAAACTGCAAGTAGCTTTGTGCCAAGTCTGACATGCTTTAATTTGGATCCTTGGGGATCTCTCCATGAAACTCAAATGTAATAAGATCAATCATTTTGTACTTATACAAGAATTACAATGAATTAAGAAATACTGTAGTTTTTATACTATGCTTTAAATTTTAGAAATGCCATCTTTAGTGTTGTAAAGCCTAGGATGGCAGATGTTCTTATGTAAAATAGTTAAAGGCAGACCGATGGCAGACTTCAGTTCTCAAATAAAAAGTTCCAGTTTGCCAGCATACATTCGAACATCAAAAATCCAAGTCGCTGCCAATCACATGGGTTTCTTTATAATGTACATAACTCACTAAAAACAGCACATAAGAGACTAAAAACTTGGCATCAAATATACTCTCATCGTTGTGAGTTAGCAGTTTATTGAATGGAACTCCTTGATCCATTTTCAAATGTTCACACACAAGAATGGTTCTTGTTCTGTGAGTTGCCCCAGCTACAGGTTTTGGTGCCGAACCAACACCTCAGTAAATCTGAATTAAGAGTAAGCAGCAACTTAAACTTGATTTCTGGTCCATTTTTGTTTGTATGTAGTCATTGTGGCTTGGCGTTTGCACATGTGTATGTGTGAGAAAGTATGTGAGTTTGATATGTAATTATGTAAGTAAGCAAGCATGGGAAAGTGTTTGTATGTATGTACGGACGTGTGGGAAAATGTGTTTGTATGGAAGTGTAGGTAAATGGGGGGGAAGAGGGGGTGGCAATGAGTGTGCAATCACCTTGATCAATCTTGTCCTCAGAATCTCACTACAGGAGAAAACTCTGGACTTTCTTTTCTAAACACCAGGAAAGGTAGAGGAACAGACAAAAAAAAACACTGGTAGCAGAGAAACACTGAAAAACCATAGCTGCAACAAAAGCCTTTTATACAAAAAAATAACAAAACATATTCAATTCCTTGCATTATTAGATCTAATACAAACATCTCAATGAATAACTTTATGCTATAAAGACTTAAGAAAACAAAGTGAAATATTTATATTTGGCCAGCCTTCCCCCAGAAAACTGTACAGCATGGCTTTATTGCAGCCCCATGTGAATGTCAAGGTTCCCTTTGCGTTTCACACAGCGGATGTACTGTGACAGATCCCACATGATTAAGGGAGTCTTACTAAATTGAATTGTTTCTAAGAACAGTGTCTGGGCAAACACACAGGAGAACGTTCCACCTTGCATAGAATAAGCTAATCCCCAAGAACACCATTAAGTTTCACCCTGTGTCCCTTCATTTCTCATCCCTCCTTGCTTCAGACCCTAATAAAACCCTACAACCCTGCCTCCCCGTCACCCAAGACAAGCTGAAGGTGCATCTTTCTTTATTACATTTATTGCCTTCAGCTACATTTTTGAGAGTTTGATTAAGTAAAAATATAGAAAATCTCACTGATGAAGCAACCTTTTAGATACATTTTGAGTTTTGGCTTAGTTTTGTGGGTGAAGGTGCTCAGCTTTCCCTCCTCTCCCAAGTTATTTTCTCCCAAATCCCTCCAGGGTACACACACTATCCATGATTAAGTTGGTCAGATAGATGATCAGGTGCTGAACCACTTTCCACCACTCTGATCGAAAACCTCTTGATTCTGTCTTCGGCCACTCCTCCTCCCCCATATCACACACAGCTCAAGTTCCCACTGTTTCTGTAAAGCGCTTTGGTACATTGTCCTATGTGAAAGGTGCTTCAAAAGTGCAATTTGCTGTATGTGATGCCTCACATGATGCACTGCCCTTCCAGGACAATTCGCAATTCAACTGGACATTTCAGGGTATGAGAACAGAATGTCTCATAATACTCAATCGGTGGTATTCCTGTGAGATTCCACAGAGGTAACTTAAAAACAACCTGAAATAACAGATGCAGTACTATATAAACCTTATCAACCTACAAACTCAGGCAGAATAACACAGAAATTTGGTGCAAGCCAGAGATTTTCTTAATAAAAAAACTTCATGTACATTAAATCTCATAACTTTATACCTGTGAATAGACTACTCACTATGCTTTCAAACAATATTGGCGTTACTGAGGGTACCGCAGTGAGATAGAGAATGGCTTGACTTGCCTTGTTCCCTGTTTAAGATAAACTGCTGTTATTCTAAAAAAAAAGGCTAATTTAGCTCCTTCGCTGAAGGAGTAATTTCCCTCTCAGTGTGCTGAAGGTAATGTTCAACAGCAATGTATGAGTACTGCTGCAAGAATTGATGGTATTCTGGTCAATAAACATAGGCTGATGTTGAAAGGAAAACAGAAGCAATGCCAATGCTTTGCAACAGAGAAAGCTATATACAGTTAAAGGGAACTGAGCATCAGTACGAAACCTCATCCAGAGGCACTCAACACAATGGAGGATGCGACCAACTCAGAAGTTCCAGCTCTTTCGTCTTTCTCAGAACATAAACTATGGTAAGCATGAAATAAAACACTTCGAAAGCACTGAAAGGCTTTATAAATGAGCTCCAACAGAAAAAATAAAAATCATGAAACCATAATGCAATATGTAACAAATAGTGCAAACATCAGCACTCTGGGGAGCGTCATGCCCTGGGATTTTAAGCGAACAAATTAAAAATGCTAGAAAGAATTCTACAGCAAACAGCTTTTATATGCATTTTCATATTGCAGAAGGATTCTGACAGGCCCCATTACTAAACCCAACAGACACACTATTAAAGGAGTAAAGTTATAATGAATTACTTGTAACATTTATAACCATTCAGAGACTGCAGTCAGAAGATTTTCATCCAATCCTCCAATTTGTTGATGTACAACGTGAGCACATATGTTGTTCCTTAATCAAACCCGCTGCTCGCCATAGCCTATTAATTGTCTTCGTGGTTTGAAAAAAAAACAGGTGGCAAGAAAATGTGAACACGAGATCCCTGATACCAAGGACATCCAACAGTAAGCACATATTGATGGCTCACAGTATTTAAGTTAATCACCCAATACTCATATCTTTAGAAAACTGACAAGAAAGTATTCATACTTTAGTTATAGCCCTCTTCACACAGTAAATAAATTACTAACTAACATCCCAGGATATTTAGTAACTTTACCCCAGGGCATTAATAAAACAGTCTCCAATCAGAGTGCAACATACACAAGGGAAGCAACTTTACCGGAGGGAAGTATCCGAAACATCTTGGCAAAATTGCATGCTATTTCTTTAAAAAAGTGTAAAAGGTAGATTATGAATTAAAAACATCATTCAGAGTTCAGAACTACTGCCATTACCAACTTAACATGCTGAAACATCATTACGTTTCCACATGCGATGTTGATTTTTAGCATTCCCCCCCACCCCTAATGATCAGAACAGTCTTGTCTTAATATGTGCACGTGAAGGGTATTAGAGTTGCTGCCACAGAACAGGTCGTCATATTTTTAACTCCGGTTAAGTTATTGCTGCATGAAGGTGCATGAACATATCTAATAGACAGTAAATTGCTTGATCAACCAGCGTTGTAAGGAGTTTAAACTATCAGCAGGATTAACATATTTAGTTCTGATGTTCAATTTGAAGTATTTTAATTTGTGATGTCCTACCATTTGATATTTTTTCAAATAAAGTAGGTTTCCTGAATATGCATAATCAGAAGCAATTGGTTGAAGATTTTACACTGCACATATCATGCACCTAATGTCTGAGGAGCTAGCAACCTCCACATCTTCTGGACATATATCTGTCCAGCGCTCCGGGACGCTGCCCTGCGTGAAGGCCGCTATATAAAAGCAAGTTATTGTGGGTACTAACTGAATGTGACCTGTTGATATATTGCTTATTGGGGTTTCCTTTGAAGATTCTTCTAGATCCCAGGATGATACGCTTGAATGACTGTTTCCTTTATGCTGCACCAAGGCACATTCCAGTCAACTAGCATTGCACATGACTGCTATTGCAAATGCTTCATTCAATTGATCCAGATACTTTGGGAGATATGTCAGTCACACAAGAGTGATGTCTGACCTACTTGTAAACAGCGTTCTTTCTGGATTACTGTCTCTCCCAGGAGCTCCCTCAGGAAGCTGTTGGTGGATTGAGAGGAATCTGAATCTACCTATTCCCTTGGAAATTTATTAATCCTTCCAAATACCTAGCAGACTGGTTGTAAATTAGGATGTACATATTTCTTCCCATCTCAACCATTTTCATCTCTTTTAGGATTTTATTTAATTTACAACCTATCCTACATCTTGGATAGTTTGTCTGTCTTAAATATCAAAGATGTCTTGGGGAGAGATTGGCAAGATTGGTCTGCAACTTAGTACGTTGCGACTGTCGAGACAAGCTCCTCAATGTCCTTTATATTATTCAGACACTACCTTTGCCACTGGGAGGGCTATGTCTTCAACATAGTGATTCACCCTCAAGAGCTACTCCTCATTGTGGGAATTTACCGGAGGCCTGCGGGATGCAGAGGCCTTGGAATGGAGATGGTTTCCATTGATGATACTGTATGCATTTACTCTGTATTGCACATTTTGTCTGTTCTTGCTTACTCTATAAAATCTGCAACATTTCAAAAAGATGTGGGTCGTTCATCGGTTTGTAGGATTTATATTGGAGCAGGGTTTTTTTTGTGTGTGTGTGTCTGGGGGGGGTGAAGAGAGGGAAGGGGAAAATATGCCAAACCTTGGCCTGCCCAAGCAACACTGCCTTGTGTTGATAGCGGTAAGGAATTGCATCAGAAACCCTGGCTCTTTTCCACTTTTTGTCTCTTTCTCCCTGCAGCAAAGCGCTTCTTTCTGAAGTATATACAGTATAAAAATGTAAAGTGTTATTAATACAGTGCAAAGGCATCAACAAGATGACCAGTTTCACAACAATGCCTTCCCCCATCCCCTAAACAGCCCACGACTTCACATCACTTTGCAATTTGGGTTCTGACTTACAGCATTAATTGGCTGAGGCTCAATCCCTCAATATTTTACTTAAAGGACTGGATAACACAATACAAAATTGAACATCTCCAGTTTCATGAGCTTTAGGCATGGGTTACTCTGCTCAGTTTGACTGACTGAATGCTCCTGCTGGATTGTTCTTTTAAAATGCAATGAATACAAACAAGAGACACGTCCAAAATGCAAGCTAGGAAAAAGGCGACGAGTCGAACAGCCTGTCAGTAAAGCAGTAGAAGGTGCTTAATTTCATACCTTTCTGGTTAAAGGTGGCCTTTATGCCCCCACCCTCCCGATGCAAACCTCTGTCCCACTTACCAACATGTGCAATGCATTTCTTGGCTGGCAGCAAATGCTGGTGTCTCCTAATATTGGTTGGGTGAGGGAGAGGCTGAGACACAAGAGTGCACCTCTCAACTAACAGGCCAGCAAAGCAACATTTTAGTCCTGCAAGCTGCAGCAAGCTTCTGCTTAGCCCGAAGGATGACCACAATCCACGACTGTGGTGCTGCAAGGAAAAGGTGGAAGTAAAACAAAGCAGGGAGGAGAAATAAGCTCCGGATATTTCAAGAGATACCAAACTAAAATATTTGCTTGTGATATTTCCTGGTCACACTGAACATTTTTTTTGTACCAATAAGTTAGTTTGTTTATAAAAATGTTCGTGTGAAAACCAATTGCTCAACCGGTTATGAGGCTGTCTTGAGGTTGGGACAAGATATATTCGACCGGTCTGGACCGCGGGATCCAGCGCATGATCCTCTTTGCATGGGAGTGCAGCTGCCGGAACTGCATCCATGCAGTTCGTGGAGGAGAGAAATCAATAGAAAAGGTAGCAGAGTCGCCCAGCTCATGCTGATATGTCTTTGGGAGCCAGTCTGTTATCATTCACAGGATTGACAAGTGGCATACTAGTCAGATTTATGGCAATACAGGTCCTTGAGTGCTTTGAGCTCCTCAATAAGCGTCTTATTTTGATTCTCCAGAACAGCTACGCGGTTCTCCAGGCACTTCACATACTCTTTCTTCTTCCGACGACACTCACGTGCTGCCTCCCTGAAATGGGGAGAGTGGGAGTAATAGGATTAGGACAACCAAACAGGACCAACTGATCTTTCTCCCCCACCTTTCTGACTCTTGATAGTGGAGATTCATGCTGGGAGACAGGCACTAACCACCCACCAGAAAACATTCTTCACGTGTGAACTTTGGCAGTATGGACTGGCAGGTTGGTTGCCTGGGGTGTAACCTGATGACCACTCAAGCATTTTTTCTAGCAGAGCGATCGATGGATGAGACACTTGACTGATTTTTTTTACCCCTCCTCTCTCTTGAGCAGTTTACTGAGATCAATTGACCCACTTATTTCTGCCTTGACTGAAGTCAGCTAACTCAGCATAGTCAATGAAGTGGAGCTAGTTTCATCCTGGTCAGTACAATATATAGTGCACCGAACTATTGTGGGAGGCGCCCTCCTACAAGTTTTATTCAAATTTTGACTTTTGTTTAAAAAAAAGCAGTGCTTTGTGTAGGAAGATCATGTTGGTTATTTTAGAACTACGACAAATGAATAGAGTGCTACACCCTTATCTCACCCGCTTATAATGACATCCTGCGATGTCGACATCAATGGGCAGAGGAGTGTATTACACAATACTGTTTTCACAGTTATGTAAAGTTACCCCACTAGAGGTTAGTCTTCATAAACCATTTCCTGTTAAGTGGCCCAACATTGCATTACAATAACGAATTGCAATACAACAGCCACCATGGGAGTGGGAAGGCAGAGTGCAAGTCTCATAGACTTAATAATAATAATAATAATAATAACCCTTGCATTTGATATAGCGCTTTTCACGTCAGGAGGACGTCCCAAAGCGCTTCACAGAACACACTGTAAAGTGAATTGACTGTATATTTGTGGGCGAACACTTTATGGTTTTCGTTCACATCACCTCTCCATGGTGTGCACAGCAATTGGCCCACCAAGCCCTGGCACTGAGAGCAAAGGATTACCTGTTTTTCATGAGGCGGATTTCTCGCTTGCGAGCTGTATCCTCGGCATTATGCGGCTGGTTGTGCATGACTGGGGATGATGTCATCACCATACCCTGGCTGGCAGTGGAGTTGGGACTGGTGCGGATCTGATAGGTCTGGACATCTCCAGCGGCACCTGCAAGCAAGATGCAGCAAATGTATGTTAGCACAATAAGGATTTATAAATAGATAACACTATTGTAGTGTGTCAGTATCCCAGAGAACTAGCTAACACAACCTCATCTACATTAATTACTCAATAAATTCCCTATATTGGATCAGAATTTTGCAGATCTTAGCTTCTGACAAATTGTTCTCCAGTTTCTCACTTACTGAACTCTTGCTGAAATACAATGCTGGTACCAGCTGGCCCCAGTATGTCGTCCAAGTTATCAATATTCATGTGTGAGCCTTGACAATGAGTGTCGTCAGGTAATTGGAATGCAGAGTTAAGCACAGCCAAGCCTAATCCTGTCCTCGCTTGATATCCATACATGTTCACCTCTAGGGAATTCACTGGACAGTGATCAGAAGCAGGAATCCTAGCCAAACCCATGTTTGATCTCCCCAATTTATCTTCTGAGGTCAATTACAACAACAACAAAATTACATTTCTATAGCGCCTTTCACGTCAGGAGGATGTCCAAAGGGGCTGATTATGACAGTCATTACTGTACCCTTCCTTTTGCCCCGGCTGAGGTCAGCTGCACAGAACTGGGCATCAAACCTGACACTGGTTAGGTCTGTACAACCCAGCTGCTTACTGGAAAACTTGTTCCATCAGATTGGTCAAAATTAACACCATAGAGATCACACCTGGTAATACAGCACCATACTTAAGTGTCAGAGCTACACTCTCCGACCTTAGATCAGAATTGGTGCAGAGTAAATTTAAATTTGCCCTGACACCAGATTTGACATTACAATTCCCCATCCCAGCTTCAAACAGCAACTTTAAACATTTTGCAACTTTAAAAATGAAGTAGGGAGTGGGGGGAGTGGGCAGGGGAACTCCTCATTAGCAAAACCAGCTGCTAAAGCGTTACTTTTTAGATCCTAATTTCAGATTTTCGTCCGCCTAGTTTTGATCTCTAAAGACTGAAATTAAATTTAAGGATGCATTGGTCCGACATTAAACTCAAGGATGCATCGCAAAAAAAGTTGGAAGGTGCAGAGGAAACTGTCATCAGGTTATTGGAATGCAGAGATTAGAACACTATTAATCACTTACTATTCATACTTAACCGATCTAAATATAACAGATGGAATCTGTAACCACCATTGGATTATTCCATCAAGATCCACATTAAGAACAGTTGAAACATTGTGATAAAATCTCATACTGCATAAATCCTCCTTGCTCTAAAATAGTTTTCTTATTCCCCTTTCTCTTCACCTGAAGTTGTTGACTTGTGCTCTTGTGCAGTTTCACAGGCATTGACTGCTCTGACGTACCTCTCAAATGACACATTGTTCACATCAACCCAAAAAGTGAGTGTAAGCAGGCCGTGAAACCATGTGGTTTTGGGGGTGGGGGGAGGGGGATAAATTACAGTTAATTCTGTCTTCACCCAACACCCAGCACACAAGCTTCCCAGCAGGAAATTCTGAAGGAACAGTGGCCATTTGTAGCATCCAAACTGATACCAACTAAATGAACACACAGCCCCTGTTCCACTTTATACCTTGGTTATGAGAACTAAACTGCCTGGGAATAGGGTTGTTAAAACTGTATATTTTATAAAGGATTTTTTTTGCCCTGGAGAAAGTTACATTTTTCATCTTTGACATCAAAGAAAAGATAGTGGGTGTTATTCATGCACATGATTTGTAATGGTAACATTCAGCACAGGGCTCTTGACACTATATAAGGAACATTAATTTATAAGAGATGTTTGGGTGTTACAATTTCTCACATCCTTTGACAAAAATCAGCTTAAAATTAAGTTGTATATTGTTCAGATCTAGAGCAATGTGTGTATAACAAAGTCTACACATGAACCAACCTCTGAGGCACTTCTGGCCTGACCATGGTGCATTGTTCCAGCCTAGCAAATTTTCACATTGCAAGCTGTGGTATTCAGCAGCCACAATGCTGAAGCATAAAAACTTAGTTTAAAACACCAGAAATCAAACAATTTTCAATTATATCTGTCCCACTACTGCTATGACTCAAGAGTAACATGCAAGACATTCTCCTTATCAGTAATGCAGTTAGTGGCTTGAGTTTGTCTTTTTAAGGTTTGTCTCTGCATTAAAAATGACACACTAGTACTACTACTGAACTAACCTGCTGAAGTGAAGGCAATCAATATATTAAAATGACAACACATGAAAGAACACCATCTTTCTTCTGCGCCCACTACCATCACTCACCTTGTACCACCACCTGGCTGCCTGGAACAAAGATCTGTTGCTGTCCATCAGTGCTCTGGGCATACTGTAAAATGGTTGCACTACTCTGGGTAGTTCCTGCATTACTCATTGTCAGTGTCTGAAGGCCATCTGTGCCATTGTTAGCTAGTTGGATTGCACCTCCCTGCGTGATAGCAACTGACAAGAACAAAGAACAAGAGATCAATAGAAACTCCCGATCCAACCTGCAACCAAAGAGAAACTAGATTTTGAAACACCGAGTATACGAGCACATAAACACTGGCAAGTAGTCATCAGCATTGAGCAAGGTGGAGAGGAATATTTTGGGGGATTCGCACAGAAAGTGCCTGTGACATTTATCTTACTGTTCTAAATAAGTGAGAAAAGTCACCCAAGCACAGAACACAAAATACCCACAGAAGTTAAATGGACAACAAATTCAATAATGAAAGGAAAGGGCACAGCACCATTGGATTTAGTTCTCATTTAATACACAATACAACATGTTAGTACTTTTAAGCACATAGAAAGCTGAAATGATCAACAACAACAATATTACATTTGTAAAGCGTAATGTCATGAGGACGTCCCAAGGCCTGCACAGAGTTACGGATCAATATCTAATCTAGAAGAGTTGATCACTGGGAATGTTTCAAAGTCACATAATGTTGGGCAACAATCCTATACAGTTTTCCTGGGTTTCTAGGAAAAAAAGATTCCGCCCTGATAACGGCTAAATGCAGAGTGAAATGTTAGGATTCCTGTAAGTAAGGTAAGGATGTGGGGAGTGTACATACTGTACTGTCCACTGCTGGTCTGATAGATGGGGGTTGGCATCGTCATTGTTACAGATGTGGCATTCGATTCTTCTTCAGATTTTTCTTCATCAATTCTTGGCACCCCAGGGGTATCAGATGAGAGTTCATTCAAGATTTTTCTATAAACATAACACAGTAGAAGAGCATTCGATTAGAGACTCATAAAAGAGGCATGTTAAGCCAACCGTCCCAAACCGAAACAATCATTCAGTCAAATCAATAAAAAGGTCTCCAATTCAAGTGGCCAAATACGAAAGGATTTTAATAGTAAGTAGAATTTCATTAAAAAAAAGACGCTTGAACTATAAATTTACATTTCAACACTTACAAATTCTTCCAAAACTGCACAGCAGCAAATTGCTCTGATTCGGGTTGTTTTTAAGTTGCACAGCAGGTGTTGAGACATGAATTCTTAATCCCTGCCAAGTCAATAATTGGTGGAAATAATCCCATTTCTTCTGGGGGCAGGGAATCATCCCACTCAGCTCCTGCAAGCTAAAAGCCTAATCAGTAGGACAGTCCTAGCCGGACAAGCAGCAGGAAACCTTGCCAGACAGCAATATCAATGGCAATCTGTGGTTTTAGCTGGTTAGACTCCAGCAATACAACACACACACACCCACGGTCCCCAAGCCTTGGCTCTTACCAACCTGTACCTAATGCTTTTTGGAATCCAGGGAGAGAGTGCGCATTCCATTCCAACAATCTATCTCTGAGATTTCCACGTGTAGGTGGGATGCATGGAAACCTCAGTTTGGTTTGGATACTCTTAATAATAATAATAATAATCCTTGCATTTGATATTGCGCTTTTCACGTCAGGAGGACGTCCCAAAGTGCTTCACAAAACACACTGTAAAGTGAATTGACTGTATATTTGTGGGCGAACGCGGCAGCCAATTGCGCACAGCAATGTCCCACAAACAGTCGTAGATTGAAAATGACCAATTTATTATTGTTTTGTTTTTTGGAGGGATTATTATTAGGCGTGTGGAGTAAGGAAACTTGCCCAAGGTTTCGCCCTGCCTGGAATTGAACTCAGGTCTCTTACTTGCAAAGCGAGTGCTCTAACCACTGAGCTACAGTACTCCACAAGTATGGTGATGGGTTTCTACAAGTGTGAGACACCCGGCTGACCAAAAAAAAAATCATTGTGCCATTGATCAACATGTCTATAGCTTCAACTACGAACTAAACTGCTGCAGAAAAGGACATTTTCTTGAAATAAAATTTCTTGGGAATGAATCAGCAGTCTGATACGAGTTGCTGCATTACCTGTAAGAAGGACGCCTCGATAGGATCTCTCTACGCTTCTGTGAGTCCGTCATACTATCCACGGATTCCTGGGAGTCCTCACTTTCTGCTATTGTGGAAATCTGCAACAAATGAAGTGAGAATCCCAATTTTGTGACACCTTTGAACAACATTGTCAGTTTATAGGTCAGCCAAGAGGTAAATACTCTTAACAACAACAAATTTGAATTGTTACAGAGCCTGCTGAACGGAGGGAGTGGACAGGTTGATAGGGGGTTAGGGAGGTAGGAGGGGACAAGGCCATGGAAGGCTTTGAAAGTGAGGATGAGGATTTGATTTCTATCCTCTGAGGGATGGTGAGCCAGTGGAGCCGGGCAAGGGATGGCGTGATGGGTTCACGGAGCTTGGGGAGGGAGGACACGAACTGCAGAGTTCTAGATAATCTACAGTTTGTAGAGGGAAGAGTTGGGTAGGCCGACAAGGAGGGAGTTTCCGTAGTCCAGCCTTGAGGTGACAAATGCGTGTATGAGGGTTTCGGTGGCCAGAGGGGTGAGGCAGTGGCAGAGTCGGGCAATGTTGCGAAGGTAACATTACAATAACATGCAACTAAAGTAGATGTTTTGAGCCAAGTGTGAATAGCATTGATCAGGGTAATCCTTCAAACTAAAAGTTTGTAATGTTTTCCTCTTTTATGCTTCATACAGGTAAGCGGAGCACGGCAGAGCCCCCGCCCCCTCCCCACGATGGTGAAAGCTCAAGCAGGGAGGTCAAACAAAAAGCTGTTGGTATGTTTGATTATATATTTTCATTCCCATTTTAGCCTTGAAAATGAAAATGTTAATAGACGTTCTTTAAACCCATGTCAGCCAACCCAAGTCATAAGTCTTGTAGGTCTTTGGCAGAGAGTAGGAGTTAGAAAAGCAGGCATGCATCAATGCAAGATTCAAGAGTTATTAGTTAATTATGGCTCTGGTACATGATCTTATTCCACACTTATGTGCAGTATGCAGATGACATGGACTAGTTGGGCCGAATGGTCCGTTTCCTTGCTATACAATTCTAGAAATCTATGTAAATTGGGGATCCTTATAAGGAATAACTGTAATGTTTCAGAGCCTGCACAGGCGTAAGTGACTTACTTGAACAGTTTGAACTTGAGGCGACTGGATCACTGATGACTGAGCTGCCTGGATAACTCCTTGGACTTGAACGGTCTGTCCGTTGGGGAACTGGACTAATGTTACAGTTGGATTGCCTGCAGTGGCCTGAACACTTGGCATGCTTACCTGTATCAAAACAAATGCATTTTAGGCTCTAAACTTGACCAATATTCAATTTATTCGTCACAGCTTGAAAGAAACATGGGTAATATAACAAATTATATACAAGGGGACCCCATTATTTTGTGGTGACCTGAATCCCAAAACTCAGACCCTATGTTATAAAGGGACAAATTAAACACAATGGTCAGTGCTTCTGGATTGGTAGATCACTTATCACGTCACTTCCTGCTTGCAATTCATGCGTGTTATATGCAAAAAGTGACACTGACATTACTGTGTGCGTTGCAGGATGTAACATTGGTGGCAGGAAGTAAGGAACCCTGGAGGGTAGATCTAATAGATTGGTGTCCATGGCATTCACCAGCTGATGTAAAACAAGTTAAAAGACAGAATCAAAACCAATGTTATTTCATAACAATAGATGATTCCTGATTCTCCAAAACCAATTAAATCAGTCTCATGCCCAAATAGGGTCCATTCCATGGTTGAGGGTTCCATGCTGGCCCGTGCATCAAAACAAAGGCAGATATTTGAAAACTTGCATACGTGCACCAGACTCTAATACCACCAGCATGTAGGGAGCTGATCCTTATCCACATATAAATCTGGAAAAAAAATTCTTGTAAGACATATTACTAATTAGACTCCTTTTAAATTTAAGGGATGATGGTACTGTTTACAGTATTTGAGTGAAGTATCCTCCATTCATAAATACCACTGATTATATGTAGGCAACAGCTAGCCCAAACCTCTAACTAGCACCAACCACCCACAATGCTCCCACTGAGTATTCATGCTTTTGGCATACCTTGCAGTGCTGAGCTGAATCTGCACAAACTGATTTCACAACAACTATCAGATAAAGACAATATACAGTCAGATCAAACAGAGTCAGTTTGGGACTCATATCTGTCGTGAAATATCTGTGCCATTCTGCTGACATTGCAGCGCATAATCTCTCCAACATAAGGCTCTGCACACATATCATTCCTGCTCTCACCAGGTTCCTGGCACTCTAGTGGATCGGCTTTAAAGATCCTTGTTATGACCTTCAAATCCCTCATGGTTTTGCCCCTTGCTCTCCCCTCCCTTCTTTCTCCCTGACCCCAGCTCGTGTCTGAAATGCTGTACACTGTCCACCGCCTTGGGACGTCCTCCTGACGTGAAAGGCGCTATACAAGTGTAATCTTGTTGTTGTTCCTACATCTACAATCTCCGTCAACTCAATGCTCGTATCCTTAGATTCTCAAAACCTTTGCTTATTCCTCACTACCTCTATGCCAGCAATGCTGATCAAGCCATCAATTACAATATCCCTGGTTTCTGAAATTATCTTCCAAAACCTCTTTTCCTGCCTTCAAAGCCCTCTTTAAGATTACATCTTTTAAATCACACTTTTGGTCAACATTCTGAAATCTCCCTTCTCGGTGCTCCTTAGCATAAGTGATAAATGCTTTAATACACTCCTTTTATGCAAGGGGTGCTATATAAATGCAAGTTTTTAAGAGGTGGCAGTAGGAATGGAGTAACATAAATCGTAATTGTCCACGAAGCTACAGCTGTGAATCATTAGATACACACACATTTAGTCTACCTGTGCTATAGTAGCAAGTTGTGTTGGTGCCTGTATTGTTATATGCTGTCCATCTGTGTCTGGATCACCACGCTGATGAGTTTCGATATTGGAATCCATTGTTTTTTGCCTGCAATCCTGGAAAGTACAACGTGAAACAGAGTTTAAATAACTTTTGAATACACTACAATCAGAAGTCCCAGAGGATATAGTTCTTGTAAAGAGTGAATAAAATATACCAGTGTTTCTTTGACCAATGTTATCCTGTGTATAGACTTAATTGCAAACCATGAAGTAAATGTCACTATTAAAGTCACTTTTTAAGGATAGGAGTTATAATATTTAGGAAGTAACACCAGTATGAATGGGCGATTAGTTACAGTACTTTGCACAACACTGAAAGACTCACAAGTTACGGCAAAGCATATCACAAATGAGAGAATATCTTCACTGCACCAATCGTCGTAAGATGCAGCTAATTTGCATTCCCCATTTTACTGATATGTCTTTAGTTGAGGAAATACCCAGAGTGCATTGTCAAATTGTCCAGGTGAGAATTAGCTGGATTGGACAATGTGAAGTGAATGGGTAACAGGAGAGTTTTAACACTTCTGGAATCCTTTTCAAGTTCCCCAAAGAGAAATTGTGTTTGCACTTGGGTGCTGAGAAACAATTGCACATGTGCCAGTTTTGACACCAACTAAACTATATATGTTCTGATACACATTTGTCAGAAACAGTAATTACTTAACACTTAATTCAAGTGGGCCTCAATATACTTTCTTCAAGTATATCATTTAGGGCCTCCTTTGATATCTCAGCAGGTTTATCCAAAGAGTAGCTAACATATACCTGGATTCCACTGTGCCTGTGCTAAATGGTCTGAGGTGGAACAAGGAATTGCCACAATTGGCATTTGGATTAAGCAATAAAAAAAACAAAGCATTGTCCAGTTTTTGGTTGCTTTCCAGAAAGCTCTGCTGGATGTGCACCTGTTATTATAATTGTGAAAGAAATATTAAGGATAATTCAGCATTTTTCTTCTCACTGTGGCAACGTTCCCATTTGTAACACAACAAACATTTTCAATGTATCCAGGGCTTCCTCAACATATGCCACATGGTATGTCATTTGAATACCGGGGCCCGAGATGACTGTTTGTGTCATTTTATCCCAGCTAGCAGATTCCAGCTAACATGAGAGGTGGGAAAAAGACCCAATTCACAAAATGTCCAATTCTTTTAAAAAGTGTAATGCTAGAAAGCAGGGAACGAGAAAGAGCCATCTGACCAGTCACCTGGGTTACGTCTATATTTTCCTTTTCAAACATTTCTCTATTCCCTTTTAAAAGTTATTATGGATTCTGCTTCAACCATTTTTGATTAGGCATTCCATGTCCTAATAACCCACTGTGTAAAAACAAAATTCTTAACTGTCCCCCATGTTCTTAAATTACTGCCTTAAATGTCTCTCTTCTAGACTAAAAAGATCACAACTCTAAGGTTTTAAATAGGTTCCTCAGTGCCCCCGGGCAAAGGAATCGTGGGTACAATTCCCTTATCTTTTATCGTGATGAGGTCTTTAACGTTTACCAACTGATACCAACTGAGCCAACTTGCCACCAAGTGTTTGTTCACTTAGAGGCCCTTTCCTGTACTCCATTTAAAAAACCATTTAATTTAATTCATTTAATGTTAACTCTGTCATGTTGATGCAATGAAATATAAAGCTTTAACCTAGACAGAAAGAATTTACTTAAATAAAAAGGCTCATAAAGGTCTGAGGTGGAACAAGGAATTGCCACAATTGGCATTTGGATTAAGCAATAAAAAAAACAAACCATTGTCCAGTTTTTGGTTGCTTTCCAGAAAGCTCTGCTGGATGTGCACCTGTTATTATAATTTCATTTAAATTTCTTACTCTGGAGGTTTTCCTTCCCAAGGGCCCAGCTGTAATGGCAGCCAGGGATCCTATTCCAAAGAATTACCCAGTTACTAAGAAGTAAACAGCTGCCTCTGGTTACTTATCTTCCAAATTTCAGTTGCTACTCACCAACTTCCGTCAGTTGGTGCAGCCATTCCTGGGGATTCGGTGACCACGGATATCAAAGGCACAACCTCCCCCCCACACATACAGTCCTGGTCTCATTGTTTTCAATTATCATCCTCTGAAAATATTTAAATGCATTCACAGGGAACTCAACAGCACAGTATATATATTTCCTTACTTTTTTTACTATGACTCTATACTATGTACTGTAACAATTTCTTATATTACAATATTTAACAACGAATCACAAAAGTTCCATGACATTTATCAAACATGACAGGAGGCACCCAATCTCACCCCAAGTATTTTTCACAAATCAATAAGTGCTGTGTTATTATTTGCAAGTTTAAACCACCCATGACTGCAAATGTACACCGAGTCATAATTTCCAGATTAGCTAGATGGTTTGATGCTCGACAGCGGACTGGCAGTTGCAGCTGGAAAAGGAGAAGTAGATTTGGAATGTTGTCCACACACATGGGGAAGTTGACCCCATGTCTGCGGATAACATTGCCGAGAGGGAGCAAGTAATGCACCTACAATAAAATTTCCATTTACATAGGCTAGAGAAGCTAGGACTATTCTCCTTGGAGCAAGAAGGTTATGGGGAGGTTTAATAGAGGTGAGGAGAATTTTTTTTCACAGTGAGTCGTTCGGATCTGGAATGCATTGCCTGAAAGGGTGGCGGAAAACGATTTGATAACTTTCAAGAGAGAGGTAGATAGATACTTGGGTAGACAAATTTGCAGGACTATGGGGAGTGAGAGGGGGAAGTGGGATTAATTTGAACAGCTCTTTTAAAGCACTGGTAGGGCCACAATAAGCGAAATGGCCTCCTACTGTGCTGTAGATTTCTATGATTATGACTTTCATGTCGGGAGGACATCCAACTGGCTGTGTAGTGGGAGAAGTGTGGAGAGGAGAAAGTTGACCAAAAGCGTAATCAAAGAAGCAAGTCTTGAGAAGGATGCACCTAGATTTGGAGAAGGACAAAATCTTTTGCAAAGTTAAAATATTACAGTGAGCAATATTTCAAATGCAGCAAGTTGTCATCAAATAGAAAAAAACACTTTTAAGTTATCCTTTATATCTTTGTTGTCCTCTTCTTCATTAAGAATGGAAATCTATGAGTCATCAGATGTTGTACTGAGTTGACTTATCACACACATAGATGTTTGCTGTTAGCACTGACAACGGCTGCAAACATTAGCAAAATATTTTAATAATAATCCTTGCATTTGATATAGCATTTTTCACGTCTTCTCGATGTCTCAAAGTGCTTCGGAGAATAGACTGTAAAGTGAATTGACTATATATTGGTGGGCGAAACATGGCAGCCAATTGCGTACAGCAGTGTCCCACAAACAGTCGTGGATTGAAAATGACCAAGTTATTATTGTTTTGTTTTGGAGGGATTATTGGAGGGTGTGGAGTAAGAAAACTTGCCCAAGGTATCGCCCTGCCGGGAATTGAACTCAGGTGTCTTCACTTGCAAGGCGAGTGCTCTAACCACTGAGCTACAGGACTCCATATTCTATATTCTATTCTCCAGCACTAAGATTCCTCATCTTAATGAGTGAAAAAAATTAATTTGAAAGCAAATAAAATCAATGTACTATATAATCAAACATTGCTCACAAATACTGCCAAACTTCATGAGTAAATTAATTTACCATTTGTACTACATACTGGGAAATAAAAACCCTCAGGCAACTTTTACGAACTATGTTTCCTTTGCAACACTTTAAAAGGGATCTAATTCTTGGAGCTGCACAAATCCTATCGGATGTGTGTGAACAGTCATTCTGACAATGTAACCAATCAACTAAGGCTTTGGTACATGCCCAAATGAGACTTAAATACAGACAACCTACACAAAGCAATGTACAAATTCACTGCCAAAAAAGGCCAACTTTTGCTTTAAAACAGTAAGCTTGCCAATTAGCCAGGCCCATTTCCACCATCCATGTCCTGTAAAAGTTTATTTTTCTGCATTTCTGTTGAATTTGACCCTCATCACTTCCCAACCAACTCATCTTTGTCAAAAAGATCGAAATGTTTGGTGAAAGAACAGTTGAGGATTCAAAGATTACTTGCAAAGTGGTAACTTTTAAAAAAAACTTTCCAGCTCTGCAAACTTAGTGGAATTTCATAGCTGTCATACACTATAAAAACGTGCATAGATATGTTATGAATCTAATGTTATTCAGAAGCTGGAGCAGAATGTATAGGAGCTGTAAGTGAAAGGACAAAGTGCAACATTTGGTAGGCAATCAATCCTGCTAATACCAGTGATTAATGAGAGGAAACAAGATATAATATTGGATAGCTTATGGAAAAAGTGACAGCTTCCTTCTGCAGATGCTTTACATTGAATCCCATAGAGAACCTGTCTAGAATGGCAATGCGTTTCATTCATAAAAGGCGACGCACAGCTGCTGCATATTTCTCGTAACTTCAGAAGATACAACGGCTCCAATGTAAAAGCTAAACATAGGTTAATGAAGTTCAAAAAAACTATTTATAGAGTTGCTCCAAACTAGTACTGCATTTGGCATTTTACTTTTAGGGAGGGTGGGCAAAACTACAAAATATTGCCATGCTGCAATGCTGAACATGGAAACAATGTGCAAAGTGTTTCAGTCACTTATTGAACAAGTTTTGGGGGTGGGAAGAGAGGCCAGACATCAAACATGTTTTCCTCGGGTTTGCCTAGGTTTAGACAAGTTAGGGATAAAGCAAATATCCTCATCGGAAGAAGATAAAGTCGAGGACAGGTAAATAACAAATTAGCCTCCTTCCTCAATAGTGCCACTGCTGGCTTCAAATAAAGACTAGCTTCTGCCTCAAGAATTAGTACAGAGTGGAACAGGGCCTTATTCAGTTGGCCCAGTTTGGAAGGTACACTGCAGTCTCTTCATTTCTGGGCTAAAAAGATGTGCCTGCACTTGTACTGCAACAAGCTTACTTTTGCTTAACCCACAATATCGCATGCTTTTAAAAGCATGGATTTTCCAGGTAAAAAGCACCAGTTTCTTTCCACTCTTCATTATTGACCAGCAGTATAGGAAATCAGTATCACATTCAAACAGAGCTTACAGAACAAAGCTGACATTTTAGCTTTATTTCAGGTCTTACAAAGGAAACTAACAATGTTCATGCAATGCCAGTACTTCTCAAGTCATAATATATACTGGATGTGTAACCAAAGAGAAGGTTGGAGAAAATAAGTGCTTTAATTCAAATTATTCAAAATTGCAATAAGGAAATCCTCCTTCTTCTGTCTTGTCAGCAATGGGGAGATTTCTCAAATAAGCACTCACAACTGGCACCCCTCCCGATGGAAACTGTTAATACATCAGACCGACCGGCAGGAACTCCACTCGTCCTTTAAGCTGTTATATTGCTTTTACCCTAACAAACAGTTACTGAGGTAACCCAGTACTGCAACAACAGCAATGTCTCCAATTGGACATTCAAGAAATGCTTCCAATCTCATTAGAACATCATACTCAGGATTCTGTTACGAGATGCCATTCTCAGACAGACTCTGACATGGGAGGGGCTTGTCACACACAACTAAAAGTGCGACATTGATCACGTGCTGATGGCCTTCATGACTCAGGATATAAGGAAATGCAAAAGAGGCAACATAACATTGTGTTTTCAAACATCTCAACCGCATAGTTATTATGCCAGCATTTGCAATTTCAACTATGAATAAACCAAAGAGGTCTAATTCAAAAGGCCTGTTTCTCTTTCAATTAATTGAAAATGTTTTTTCTTGGTCCCAGCCCTTGGCACACTAATTGTTGAAAATAACTAGAAGATCCTTTAAAAACATTTAAAGGTAATTACATTGAGTTGAAGAAGTAATTCATAAAATTAGCAACAGGATTTTTAAAAAAATTAAGATTTCATAAACACTACTAAGAGAAAAAATACTGCATTTCACCTCGGACAAGTATTTTGCTTCCACCAATATTAAATTACACAAAGTACTATAAACACAAACTATTTATTAAACTTAATAAGGAAGAATGGAATGAAAAGTGTAATTTGGCCAATCAAGCCTGGTCCTTCTTGAACTCTGTGCGACTACATCCTAAAATGGACTTTACGCCCAATTATTTGATCTCCAAAGGGAAAGCTGTAAAAATGCTCTTTGTTCTAAAAGGTTGTCAAGCAGCACTTCAAAATATCTATCCTATGATCTCTTTAACTCTGGCAATATTGACAGACATCAAAACTTAGAAACTTATCGAAAAATAACATTGAAAGAATAGGTCACGTAAATGTGGGAAATGAAGATGATTGTAGATGTTACAAAGGTTCACCATAAAAGACAAATGGGATTTTTTTTAATAGGAGCACTGAATTTAAAATAACGTTAAGTATATAAATTGTTTACACTGCTATTCATATTTAATGAGAAATACAGGTTTGACCAAACATTTCTGGCTGCTGATACTGAGTAAATATTGGTATATGGGTATATATATTTGTAAGTAAATGATGGTGACATTATCCACAGACATGGGTCGATTTCCACATGTATGTGGATGACACCGAACTCTAATCTCTCCGCCTCTACCTTCGACTCCAGGACAACTGCTGTCCTGACAGAATGTCTGTCAGACATCAAGTCCTGGATGAGAGCTAACTTTCTACAGTTGAACATCAACAATACCGAGGCCCTCCCGATTGGCTCCCGACAGCGCCTCCACACCTCAGGCACTGACAGCATCACCATCCAAGGATGCACACTCCACCTTACTAAGCCAGTCCGAAAACTTTGGGGTCTTTCTACCTCACATCTGTGCCATGATCCACTCTGCCTTCCCCCACATTCGCAACACCTCCTGGCTCCGCCACTGTCTCACACTGCAGGCCGTTGAGACCCTCATACATGCATTCATAACATCCAGGCTTCCCATCACACAGAGTATGCAGTTCAAGATCTTGGCCTCTTCAAAGCTCTCCATGACCTTGCTCCCCCTTACCTCTGCAACCTTCTAACTCCCTACCAACCTGCCCGCTCCCTCCGTTCAGCCTGCTTCACATCCCCCGCGTCACCTGCCCCACCATTGGAGGCGGCCCTGCTGCCACTCTGCCTCCACCCTCTGAACCTCCATCTGGCAATCCCTCCACCTCTCCCCCTTGCTTGCCTCCGTCGAGACCCTCCTCTTTGACCGGGTCTTCGGTCATCCTCCTTCCCCTCCAGCACTCCCCTGATCTCGAACCCCAGTTCGGGGCCAAAACATTAATTGTCCAGCACATTGGGACATCCTCCCGACGTGAAAGGTGCTACACAAATGTAATTTTGTTGTTGTCGGTTTATTTTTACTCATTGTCATGTTTCATGTAGTGTTTCCCCCACAAAATATACAGTCCATTCATTTTACTGTGTATTCTGTGAAGCGCTTTGGGATGCCTCAAAGACGTGGTAAAGCACTATATCAAATGCAACGATAAAAGGGATATAAAATATTTTTCCTCCTTTTATCCTTCATATGTTTCCAAGAGTGTTCATTAGCTGGCAGTACCTTGCCTAAGGAAATTCTTCATGAGGTAACCTTGATAGTGTGTATTAAAAGCTAGACGACTAGAGGAGATATCAGAAATGAGCTCAATCTTGTTCTCATTTTAGGTTTACACATGTACGCTTCCATGGATAACCATTAGGATTGAGATCCCAATGTGATATTCTTGTCCCTCTTCCAAGAGCACTGAATTGTAACGTTCTCTTGCCAACTTGCTGAGATCAGCTAACTCATCAACTAACTAAGAACCTTCGTGGTCTGAGTTACTTTTGGGATAAATTGTCAGTCAATAGAGCTGCTTGGAATAACTTCAAAAAAATACTGGTGCAACCGTTACACTATCAATCTAAACATTTTCTGGTCTAGGCCTTCATGTTGCAAGTTGTTGTAACACAAAGAACATGATGTGAGAATTAATCCTGGAATGTGTTTATTGAGACAGGGTAATGTCTCAGAGCTCAGCTCTCCAAGACCCTACCATGCATGAAGGGCACTATCTAAATGAAAATTTTGACAATTATTCGCATTGTCACTTCATCCATGCTATAATGTTGAACACTATTTTCCATTTGTTCTTTTTCAATCTCTCTTTAAGCTGATCTTCAATTGATAATAAATTAATAAATATTTTAAATGTTATAAATGTTTTCCTCTCTTTTTAAGTTATTTTTTCTCTTCTGAATTCTTTAGTTCCACAAATTTTCCATGCCTCTCCCTTTGCTCCTGATTAGTCAACAATCAAGTGGTGTGGAAGACAATAATATTTTAACTTTACACCAGGGAAGAGCCTGTACCCCACTCAAAGAGCCTCTATTATGTGGGAAAACACTTTAAAAACATTTTAAACTTTTAAGAAAGCATTAAAAGTACATGCATCTCAGTGCATAATTACTCTCACTGTACCAAGCATATTGATTACATTGACAGTGATACCACAAAACGTATTTTGTTACAGGTATGTGAGAACCACAGGAATTTCACAGCAAGCCAAATCCCTAATGGATGGGGTGGTCCTAGCTAGACAAGCACTTGGAAGCTAACCAGTACTTCATACAGTTTTAGTTAGTTAAATTCCAACATGCACTCATACAATTCTAACAACTTGGCTTCTCCCTACCTGCACCTGTGTTCTACAGGTGAAAACAAACACCTCCTCCCCCTCTCAAGGAAATAATATACTTCAGAACTAGCAAACTCTGACGAAAAAAACTTTAGTAATTACAGAGGATACATAGCACCAGTTATTTTGGCAACCGGCTAGCCTAAAGCATGGGCACATATTTAACAGTACAGTCAGAGGAGATAGAAATAAACATTCGCTCAAACAGCAAAGCTACTGCTCAGAGTGAAACTGAAACATACAAGTCAGGGCGACCATTGTTTTTATCTCCATGCTGTGCTGAGTGAACTGATCTTAGCCATCTAGGCAAAAAGTTGGACCCTCCGAGTTAAGAAAAGGGAAAAACACAGCAAGATTTCTACTCCTGAATCTTAGCTGAATCCTGCTAGAAGAGCAATGAGGTGTGTGACCCTAAGCCAAAGTAAAACAAAGTAACCTCAAGCAAGAGCAAGGATGATCTTGGCTGTGATTCCCTAAATAGTCGCACAGGCTATCAACATTCTGAACTTGGTCATCAAAAATTGGCACTTGAGTGAAAGGTGATTTGCGACAATACAATTTACATTTATAGTGCTTTTCACTTTGTGAGGATGTCTTAAAGTTATTCACAATGGAAAGACACTGCAACAAAGTCAATTCCTTCAGAACACAATTGTGGGTGAATCACATTAACTTCAGACCTTCTTAAAAATGTACTAGATTACACTAATAATACACCAATAATACCTCAGTGAAACAAGTTTTGCTAAATTTCCTGATTATACAAAATCTGATACTTTTTAAGGATCTGCATGTATTAGAGATACAGCAGTTAGTAAAAAAAAGGTTTGTTTTATGAAAAAAGACATTTCACAGCATACCCTTTTATTACTGAAACATTTCTTTTTTTTCATAAGTAGAAGGAAATCTCATTATAACACAGTTGTCTGGGTACAATTCCTTAGAATGCTGCATTATAAGCCAAGGGTTTAAAATGTCCATCTTCCACGGAGTAGGTTTGCTGATGTCGTCACTTCCTCTGCCCATATCCACACACGTAGCATGACCCACACACTTGTGGAGGAAGTGATATTTCCTACAAATGCAAGCATTGATAGGAAACCAAGGTGGGTGGTGATCCCAAAGTTGATCATTTTTTAGTGCAGGAAGCTGGCTTGCCAGCAAGTGTACCAAACTTTTGGTTAGCATGGGTCCATAGGTCACTGCTTGTGGCTGTTGCCTTGAATCAAGATCATTCAGAACACCAAAACCTACCACCCGGCAATAGCAGTAAAGCTTAAAGCCAACCCTGTGTAACAAAATAAAATCAGTTCCAAATAACAATTTTTCTCTCCTCCTTTCCTGAAAGTGATAACTTGTGCTGAGGTTCGGTCCCATGGGGATCAGACACTAAATAGCATTTATTCACATGCAAGTTCATAATATCGGCAGTATCTACAGGCTTTTGGACCATGTGATCTCCACACAGGGCCACTGGATAAAAATCTGAAAGAGGAACCCTGAGACGTTTTGAATACGTGAAAAGCGCTATATCGAATGGAAGGATTATTATTTTTATTAGTCATTTCCGCCCTCCTTAACCTAAAGCTTGTTTGCAGCATCTTAAAAGCTGCCATTACTGAGATAACCTATTTCAGAGAAACTAGGTCCTTCCTAGTTCAGCTACTCATTGAATAAACTCTGTGACCTATCAGGGGAGTCTAAAATGGTAAAAAAAATAAAAATAGCTCACCAACTGGGATGAGCTAACTCAGCAGACACCAGAGATCAAACCTGCGACCTCTGATCAGTATGGCTTAGCCCAAATGGAGCTGCATTTTATCCAATAGGTGATCGGGGAGATCACCATTGATACTTAACGGCAATTGTGAGAAAACAAACAAAACTATCATCCAAACGAACAATAATAATCCTTGCATTTGATATAGTGCCTTATCACATCGTCAAGATGTCTCAAAGCACTTCACAGGATATAATGTAAAGTGGATTGACTGTATTTTGTGGGCGAAATGCAGCAACCAATTATGCACTGCAGTTTTGCCCACAAAATACACAGAAATAGAAAAGAAACACCCAGTTTTACTGTGTTTTCTTTATAAACTTAAGTTCATGCCAAATGAATCAAAAACATGGCACCACAGAGCCTTCCCGTCAGTTGAATTATGTACTTTGATTAACAGCTATTTAATTTTAGTTCCAAAATGTGGGTTCATAAAATAGGGAATGCTCAGCAATTTCAACCAAAATATCTACTTGAAAAGTACATAAAAGTTACCTTTTTATTTCTTACTGGCATTTTAAAAAAATAACAGCACTTAATGTTGAAATGCAAGAAATTAAAAAAAAATCCCACATGCTGAACATATTTACAGAAACATAAATTATTATCTTATGTATCTGGGGAATCCAATAAAATGCAGTTACTTTATCACTTAACAACCCTTAATGTATCCAGAAAAACACACTTTTTAAAAAAAATGTTAAGACCAGTCTGGTGGTGTAGTTTAAATACCGGTGGTAGACTTTAAACCAAATTATTTTATTAAGCACTGTTGTCGTTTTTCAATCAGCCAAAAAAAATTATTGAAGCTATCTGTGGTGTCACTATATTGTTATTATGACAAAATTATGGAACTATATTTATTTTCACTGGTATTTCTCCACACAGGTGTTACAAGCAGCATATTACAGTGGTTTACCTACATTCTTTCACTCATGCGAAACATCATTGTGAACTCGCAATCATGGGTCTTTTTGTACTCCTGAAAGAACGAATATAATGCATCATCACTTGTATAATTCCTGGTATGCTGCACCTCTGCATTCAAGAGGCACTATAGAGTAACATACTATATGTACAATATGGCTACTTAGGGGCAAAGGAGAAAGCGGGGGGGGGGGGGGGGGGGGGGGGAGAAAGATATTGTGTGTTGTTTTGGGGGCCATCGATCTCATTTCTGACGGCACAAATTGACTCACTTTTAAGTTTCAATGGGAACTAGACTGGTTCGGCGCCCATTTTCACCGAGCATTAATGAATCTGACTTATTATTTTGGTTATAAATGTAAAAATAAGATTTTTTTAAATTACATTTTTACATTTAATTTCCCCCCCCCACTACCACCACCGTATTTGAACGAACACTGCGACTTGCAGAGAACCGTAATCGAAAGTGGAATAACTGTTGGTTTAATATATTTTGGCGGGAATTGTTTTTGGGTGGGGGGGGGGGGGCGGGGGGTAGAGGGGGAAATTCCTTTTCGATGTAAACATTGCTGGAGGCTTATGATGCCGCTGTAACAGCATGAGCAAAGCGAGCCCCTTTCTCTCACTCTCCTGAGGCTCAAAGCCCTGGTCGCCCACAGCCGCCATTGTTCACATCCAGGAGAAGGCAGCTCTTTCCCCCCTCCCCCCCCTTTCACCTCCCGCCCGCTCTCTGCGGCTGCCACTCCGCCGTTTCGCTCTCTTTTTATCTCGCTCTCTGTCTCTTACCGGTTTTATTTCCCTCAGTCCCGACTCTCTCTGCTGCCACTGGACACTCACACCGAGACGTAAACACCGCGTCAGTCCCTTACACCTCCAGCGCGTCACTCACACACACTGACTGACTGGGGCTCCTCCGCCGCACGGACCCGAACCGCGCAGGCGCGCGCGCGCGCTCGCCCGCCCGACAGTGCGGGCGGGGAGAGAGAGGCTCCAAGTACGCGCACGCGCAGAAAAACACCAGTGCGGACACCCGTGCGTGTGAACATCGATTACACGACGAGCAGAGGGAGGGAGGGGAGGGGGGGAGGGAGAGCGAGGTGGGGGCTTCCGTGCCTCGGTTTAATACGGTAAGGGCGAACCTATCGTCGCGTTCCTCTAGTGTGGAGAGGGGGAAGAAACCGGAGCTCGCCGATAAACCGCAGGCCCGTAGGCTGGCGGCGAAAAGTGAGCCGCAGCGTGTGTGCACGTGCACGCGCGCACGCGCGCTCTCCACCAGAACGAGCTCTCCTTTGCTCGGAACGCCCCGACTCACTGGATCCGCGCGTGCGCACCAGCCCCCTCCCCTCCCCCTCCCCGCACACACTTTGACCGCGAAACCGGCGCTGGGCGCGTGCGCAGATCCACTTCCCTCTTATTTAAATAAAAACCGTCGTTTTTTGAAATACTATGTTCAGTAAAATTTAAAATAAAGTCCAGGACAGGAGCAATCGCTGGCCCGGAAAGTGGCACCGAAACACGTCCAAACGGTCTTGGCGAAGGTGTTAGGTGATTACCGACTGCTTGTTCCGCAGTGTGAGGCTGATTAAACCAAAGGTTTATAATAATGATAATAATAATAATTACATTTGATATAACGCCTTATCATGTTGTTGAGACGGGGCCAAGCACTTCACTGACGGGTCCTTTGTTTAACATCTCATCCAAAGGACAGCGCCTCCGACAATTCAACACACTCTGCAGCATTGCATAGATTATATGCTTCCCAAGTCCCAACATGGGGCTTGAACCCACAACCTTCTAACTTGGAGGTGAGAGTGTTACCAACCCTGTGCAAGGTTTATTAAATATGTAGGAGGGACTCCCTCACTCCCCACTCCCTCCCAGTACTGGTTATGGGTCAGGCTGCAAAATATTAATTGGCTAAAATGCTAACCACAATCTTCTGTCAGGTTATTACACAAGCACAATTTGCACATGTGAGGGAGAAGGGAGTAGAGGGTTATAGTTGAGGGGAATAGGAGGGTTGGGAAGTGGCATGGACTAGTTTGGTTGTTTCGTATATCTTTCAATCTTTTTCCAAGAGGGCTTGGGGTCTATTTAAACCAAAATTATTCCTCTTCCGTGACTTCCTAACCCTGTAACAAGAGTAAAATGTATGCAGATAATAAATATGAGGAACAATTGTATACAAAACGTATATCAACATTGATCTCCAAGATTATGTTGCATTCATTCACAGCTATTTATCCTACAATAAGTATGTGCTACCTTCATTTGTAAAACATCTGATGTATTTTCACAGCTGTGCTTTGAAGAGTTAATATCAGAGTTTCTTTTATGTTACTTCAGAATATTGCAATATCACATCAATGTATCAGAGGAAAAACTTTACAATTAATTAAAACAACTGAAGAATTAAACCGCTCTTCTATTGTATTAATCATATGTCTTGCACCAATGGCAGCCTGACTACAATGCTGCTGCTATCTGGTACCCAACGAGGTGGGTTTTACTGACAATTCCAGAGGCTCCAGTCCGCTGTGATAATATAAATCATATTATCAGAGGCACTGCAGACATCTTTCCTGAATAGGAAATGCCTAAGAAAGGCCAGCAAAAATATTTTTTTGCTAAAAACATTTTTCTGTTAAAGATTAACTATTTATATACAAACCTGTGCGCAGGTTTGTATTCAGGCAACTGTGAAATCTTCTCCGCAAAACAAAGGCTGCAGTATGGATTTCACAGCACCCGAAGCCTTGGGGAATATTACAGCCATGAAATCTTAGGATAGCTGTTTACAACTGAGCTGACCTGCCAGATAATATTTGTAGAAAATCAGGCAGCATTTTGTGAACATTAAGATCTCACACATAGCCATGAGATGAATGAATAATTCGTCTGGACTTTTAGTTTGAGCATCTCTTTCTGGAATACTCATAAGCATAGTTTCTGCATGTGTCAACTGACAAAAAAAATCTGTACATTCTGAGAAACACTCTTCAAATAAATTCATGAAATCTTTCATGAAGAACAGGAAATTTATACTTAGTTTTGACGAAAGGTCATTGATCTGAAACATTAACTCACTTTCCTCCCTCCATAGATGCTGCCTGGCCTGCTGAGTGTTGCCAGCGACTTCTGTTTTTATTTCAGATTTCGAGCATTTGCAGTATTTTGCATATTTTCCCTTAGCTTTATGTCTCATCTGAAGGACAGCACTCAATGAAAACAGTGCACTCCCAGGATTGTACTGGAATGTTAGATTAAAGTCTAAGAACATGAGGAATTTGGGGTCTCTGGTTTCTATGACCTATCCCACAAAGGATTTTTTAATACATTTTTAAACATAATAATCCGTGCATTTGATGTAGCGTATTATCATGTCATTAAGATGTCTCAAAACACTTTTGCAGTATATACTGTAAACATACCATCGACTACTGACATGGCAACAAGATGTATTTGAATACTATTTGTTATATTTGCAATTTGCTTTTCTACTGCTGTTCTATTTTCTGTAATCTTACATTTAGGTAAACTCAATTGCCCTTTACAGCACTCCCAGATTGAATTTGTGTTTCTGGTTTGTTTCAAATTAGTTTTGTTTGGCCTTTGGGTAAACTATAGCCCTTGCTATGTTTCCTCTTCTCAGCAATCTATCTTTACAACTATTAAAAGGATCTTATAAGAATGGAAAGTTTTATTTTCATTCCTGCTTTGCGCCTAATAACTAGGAAATGAGGCTTCTCAACCTCCCTGAGCTCTCCCTCAGACTCACCGAAGCAGTGTGCAATCTAGGCATCCGGTTCAACCCCAGTTGTCCTTCCTCCCCCACATCCGGTCCCTGATCAGGACCGCCTTCTTTTACCTTCGCCACATTGCCCGCTTCCGACCATACCTTACCTCAAATGTAGCCGAAACCCTTGTGCATGCATTTGTCACCTCCTACCTAGATTACTCAAATGTACACAGTGACGATCTCCCCAGCTCCACTATTCAAAAGATGCAGCTCATTCAGAACTCTGCTGCCCGCATACTTGCCCAGACCAAACTCCGTACCCACATCTCACCAGTTCTGGCCAGGCTCCACTGGTTCCCCATTAGTGAACGGATCGACTTCAAGATCCTCATACTCGTGTTCAAATCTCTTCACTCTCTGGCACCTCCCTACCTCTCCGACCTCACTCCCCAATCCACCACCCGGTGCCTCCGCTCGACTGGCACTGGCCTCCTGCTCGTCCCTCGCACCCTCCGCCACACCAATGAAGGTTGTGCTTTCAACCACTGCACCCCGAAACTCTGGAACACTCCCTCTCTCAATCCCTCCACTTTACCCCTCTCCTTTTTCAAGTCCCATCTGAAAACCCTGCGTGGAGGGTGCTATATAAGTGCAAGTTGTTGTAATGCCTAACAATTGATTTATCATAGTCTTTCTGTTGCTGGAATCTTCACTGTTATACTTTTTGGAGTAACTGTCCTGAAAATAGTTTAGATTATATCCAATTGCACGCTAATATGTTTTATGAAAACTAAGTGGAAAGTGAAGATTACAAGACTTTTTTCATGCAAGTTGGTTCTAATTGTTGACATTTATTTTGGCCACAAGGCAGCAGTATAACACTAAGAATTGGAAAGGCTCACTAATCCAGGCATCTGAATTTGCTCTTCAGACAAGAGTCGAAAAGAACAAGGATTCTGGAACCTCCGCATGTGTTCTGTTTTCTTAATTCAGAATGGTTTGACAAATGGACTTGAATCAAGCTGGCGAATAAACAAGCTATGATTCAGTCTTTCACTGATTGACTGTGAATAGCAAACCAGCGTCAATCGATTCAGAAAAACGTGTGACAGTGTCGTGTGATCTAATTTACAATATGATAAAACTGTGGTTTATTTTTCATAACCCATGAAAAATACTGTTGGATGTTTTCTGTTTACTGTTGGATGTAGCAAATTGCAATGTAGTGTTTTAACCATATTAAAAGGAATAATGATGGTTTACTTTCCAACTTAAAAATATTTTTCTTCACCATCAAAAATATTATCAGAGAGGTACTCTTAGGATAGTTACTTCATGAAGTGCATATAAAATTACTTAGCTCTCCAATGGAAGATGGTTTGTATGATGGATATTCAAAGCACTGTGTTAAGTGTTCATTCATATATACATGAGCAACCAGTGTTAGTCTGCACCCAATCTTCCAATTGACAAATCAAGTTCTAAATTTGTGGGAGCAAATTTATCTTGCTGCTTGCCTGCCCAGAGCCACCATTTGTTTTTTAATTTATGTGCAGTACTGGTAATAATATCCAAATTGCTTTAATAGAAAGTATCCCGCTGTGGACTTTCATGTAAGAAGGATCAACAATTGTTGGCCGAAGGACAGAGGTGAAACAGTCGATTAGAAAAGATTCTCAGCTGTATTTTGGAAAAATAAAATTTTCACTGATAAATAGTTTCTGTAAATGGATAAAGGTCTTAGGTCAATGGTATTTATTGATGGATAAGCATTTTTTTTCTGGATGGTTGGAAATGAAAGACAGAATTTTTCACTGAGAATCTTCTCTAGAGATGGACTTTGATGGTATCAATCTGTGGTACGTTTCAATGAAATGAAGAATAGAACCATTTATGTTTCATTCCGTCTCTGTCTAGTTCCTCCTCAATGTAACCAATGAATTTGCCTCTGTCAAATGAGGCCAAATGGAGTAGAGCAGGGTTATTCTCACTGTAGTAGTTGTCAAATGCAATTATTGCTGTTAATTTGCATACACCAAGGTCCCACAAACAACCATGAAGTGAATAACCAATTATTCTGGAAGATTTTTGGCCAGGAAATCGACAGGATCCTACCCAAACAGGTAGATGAAACCCGAGTTTAACATCTCATTGAAAGGTGGGCACCTCCAACAATGTGGCTGAGTTAA